GATGATTGATTGATAGATGATAGATAGATAGATAGACAGACAGACAGACAGACAGACAGATAGATAGATAGATAGATGATAGATAGATAGATAGATAGATAGATAGATAGATAGATAATTGATAGAGATAGATACATAGATACATAGATACATAGATACATAGACAGATACATAGATACATAGATAGATATATAGATAGATATCCAGTCTATTCCAGCTCTAGGCTAGTCATGAAGTGAACTAGAAACTGGAGGAATGACAGAAAAGGGTCTGTATTATTCCAAGCTAAAATGAGCTTCTGTGCCTGAGTTTCTACAGAGGGAAGAGTAGAGCGTCCACAGACCACCTGCTTGATAATTACTCAACCCCAAACTTCTGCTTTCTGGAGTTTACCACTTCTCACCAGTCTTCTTCAAACAGCTGGTGCTGAGCCAGCTGAGGGACATGCAAAGTAAAACTCTAATTGGCCCATTCCCCTTCTTGAGCAAAACAGGGATCACTGGTGACACGAAAGTAGAGGCTGTGATTCACTCCTGGTGATGTCTTGGGCCAAATTCCAGAGGGCAGTGTTTTTAGGAGGAACGGAAGGAGATTTGCATGTATGACCTCATCCAGAAGATCCAGCCCCAGAGCATATAAACAGGAGAGCCATCTGTCCCCATCAGTCTTCCTAGTGCCAGGCCCAGCAGTCTGAACAGGTCACCACCATGGCTGTGTTCCATTCCTTGTTACCACAGCTGGGGCTGTTCCTGTGTCTGGCACTATACTCTTCTTCTGCCTTCTCTGTAAGTTATAATGACCGCTGCATGGTCTTTGATAAGGTGTTCACCTCCAACAACTCGGGAATCAAGGCTAAGGCAGAGGTCTTCAGCAGGAACTCAGTCTACACAGGTGAGTCAGAGCTGATCTTTCTGTTGTCTGTTCTCTGAGGGGTGTTAGAAATTTCAGATCATACCCCTCCACCTCTGCTCTCAGTTACACAAAGTGTTTGTGAACCAGATGGGAAACGGGGCGGGGAGAAAAAGAGTATGTGAGAGTGGACTGAGGAGACTATTTTCTGCATGTTTCCCATTTGTAAATGAATCACAGGAGGCTGAGAGCCCCATTGCTCAGATTATCTGAGCCCCAGCCAGCACATACCTGGAGCAAATAACTTGGCTTGAGAGAAATGGGCATTTGATCATTTGGGGGGATAAGTTCACTGCAGTATGTAATCCTGTCACATCCACCTGAACAATGCCAGGAAGGACATTAGCATTCAGTCTATGAACAAAAAAAAAATTCTTAAGCTAGATGAGGAAAATGTCAGCAGCCCCTCAAACATTCAAGGAACCCAGAGAAGTCAAATGACTTGTTCGAGGACTTGCTGCCAGGAAGTTGCAGAATCAGCTCCATTCCTTTTTTCTTTTTGGTCTTTATGAGACAGGGTCTCCTTTTCCTTGTAGCCTCAGCTAGCCTGGAACTCTCTATGTAGATCAGGTTGGCCTCAATCTCACAAAGGTCCACCTGCCTCCACCTCTGCCTCTGCCTCTGCCTCTGTCTCCCAAGTGCTGGGACTAAAGACATGCACAACCACGCCTGAGTTGTTCTTTCATTCTTAATCTAATGTTTTTGTTAAACATATTTGGAAAGTATTTCATAAGTATCCTTTTCGGGATTCATCAAACCTACAAGTTAATGAATATACTTTCTAATTAGTCAAACCTGTAAGTCAAGGAATATGCTTTGTATCTAGTTTTATTTTTATGTATTTTTTAAAAAAGCATCTTCAATTGGTTTTTATTTATTATTATAGTGTGTGTGTGTGCATGTGTGATGTGTGTGCTTGTGTGTGTGCCACAGCACACAGATGGAGGTCAGAGAATAACTTTGTGGCATTGGTTCTCTCCTTCCACCTTTATGTGGACTCTGGAGATTGAACTCAGGTCACCCACCTTGAGCAGAAAGTGCCTTTACCCCCTGAGCCATCTCACCAGCCCCTCTACCTAGTAGTATAAGAGCAGTGACAACATCTTCTATGGTGCTTTATAGATGAAGACATTTAGTCCTCATACCGACCTACTAGGCAGATCTTTTGTTGTCCTTGTTTTATAGATGAAGAGATGGGCATGTTTTTGAGTGGCTAAGGTCACAGAGCTACAGAAATACAGTTGCTGGAATAATACCAGCAATCAAATGCTGATACACCTTACTATGTTCTGGGTTTTTGTTCTAGGGGGAAATGCTATTAACTACCCACTTTGTAGAGGAGAAATGGAGTATGTGGAAGCTACAATTTTACCCAAGGTCACTAGGATGTAACAGAACAAATATTTGAACCTAAGTCACAGAGCCCAGAGCCTGTTTTCTTACCTCATGTATCATCCATCCTCTCTTCAAATTCTAACCAAATTTTTCAAAGTCCACCAGGGTAACAGCCATACTAAGGGTCTACGGAGTTCCAACTTTAAAGAGTGAACCACCATGCCATGCCTTCACATGGTAACCCTGCTTGTCTTTCCACTTTTTTCTGGAACTAAGTGTTCCCGTTGTAACAGGACCATGTTCCACTTCCCTGGAGAAGTGGGTCTCGTCCTACCAGAGAAGGGAAGAGAACTCATCTTATAATTCACGATGAATACTGCGTGAGTATGTATGTGACCAAATGCATTACTGCAAGAAAGATTGTGTGCCTCTGATCCGAGATAACACAGGAGACAGAGGGTTTTGCTACTGAAATGGGAGGAAGAGATGCCTACTACACGAGGATACTGTGGAGACATGGGAGCCTGTCTATAAAGGGGGAGACAGGAGAAGGAAAGCACAGGACAACAGGGAGAAGGGGTTGGAAGGGCGATCACAGCAGCTACAGAAGCCTCACATGTGGCCAGAGAAAGGGAAAGAAAGAACTCAGGTCCTTTGAGTGCCTATACATGCTTTGTACTTAATCACATTCTACTTCAAACCAAAATCTATGAGTCCACTGAGGTAAATCTGACTCACCATAGGAATGCTTTAAACTGAGAGTCAGGAGACTGGAGAGAAGGCTTAGTGATTAAGAACAGTGACTACTCTTGCAGAGGACCTGGGTTCAATTCCCAGCACCCATATGGTGGCTAACAATCATCTGTAACTCCAGTTCTAAGGGATCTAATGCCCTCTTCTGACCTCCACAGGCATTGCACAACATGGGCGTACTTACATACATGCAGGCAATACATTCATACACATAAAATAAAATAAGTAAAAAATATTTTTTAAAAAGAGCACGTTACACTTCCAGAGGACCCAGGTTTGGTTTCAAGCACCCACATCGTAGCTAACACCCATCCTTAACTCCATTTCCAGGAGATCCAATACCCTCTTCTGGTCTCCCAGAGCCCCAGGCATACCTGTGGTGCACTTACATACATGCAGGCAAAACACTCATACACATAAAACAAAAATTAGTGGATTCTTTTTTATCTGCTGGCCGTGGGGAAGGGCAGAAACCCACACTGACAGTTACAAAGCAGGCTTCATAAATGTCTTCGTGGAGTGTCGTGGCCAGGACTCAGGGCTTTCTAGAGCCTGAGTAAACACACACCCAGACCAGCCAGCTTCCCTTGTTTTGGTTTTGAAATGCTTTTCCATTTCAGCATTGTGTCAACATTAGTAAGCCATATATAAACAGCTTGGCAGATCCTGAAAGACAATGGTAGCTCAGGCAGTGTCTCAGAATAGGTTTCCTAGACCTGCTCAATAGGGAAAGAGGCCCTTGATATTTGCCAAGACTGTGCTGGGTCAGCTCTGCCTCCATTGTTCACCTCTATGGAAAAGAAGGGTGTAACTTGCCACCTTTATTCCTAAACTTTCAGCTTTAAGGACACTGTACTAAGTGGGGTACAAGATTTTTTATTTATTTTATTGAATTTATTCATTTATTTATTTTTAGCAGTGCTGGAGATAGAACCCAAGGTCTTGAATATGCTAGGCAGGTGCTCTACCACTGAACTATCCCCACCCAGCCCCAAAGCAGGGCTTTAGAATCAATCAAAATGTAATTATGTGATAGTCCTCAGGTGCCCAACACGAAGCTGTCCAGATGCGGGCACAGATGAAACCATAAAATACGATAAAGTATACAGCTCTATAGTAAAATATGTCAATGTCTCAGGCGTGAGAGAAAAGGAGGGCTAAGTTGGTCCAGAGGAGGAGCATGCCATGACAAGATCTGGGGTGGAAGTGGGATGGGGTGCTTGATAACAAAGGAGGAAGGCTTCCACACAGGCACCCAGACATAAACAAAGCCAGGCCCAGGTGCAGGCCGGGTATGCTTGCAGAAGAACTGGGGAGGCTAGTTGCTGCCCTAGACTAGAAGGCAGACAGTAGAGTGGGACCAGGGTCTCAAAGTCCTGAAAAACATGTGCTGGGTGCAATCATCAACAGAGAGAGGCAGAGAGATGAAAGCAGAAACGTTTAGATTCTCCAGAGGGAAGGGCACTCGGAAGGCTTTGAACTGGAGTATGTCCCACTGGACAGGTTATGTGAGGAAGTCCGGTCTGGCCACTGTGGAAGCCTGAGGAAGGACCTGAGGCCACAAAACCAGAGAATTGCAAGTGCCTGGGAAGGGAGAAGGGGGGGGGGCTGTCCCACAGTGAAAGGGAGACAGTGGACGGTGCAACAGTCAGAGAAACACTCTCAGAGAGTTCAGAGAATTCATGACTGTCTACATGACACCATTGTGTATCACCTTCCACCACACCGTGATGCACCCATGTAAGACAAATGTCAGCTCCTCTGGATGAGTCAGGCACATGAGATTTGGTCAGCTGGTCCTCTTGGCAAGGGAAACTAGGCCAGAGAAATATAATGTGTCTAAATTAATGCTCACAATTACAACATATCCAATGCCCACTACGTCTTAGCCTCTTCTCTTCAACCCTCTTAGGAGCCTTTCTAGATATGTTGCATGACCAGATAATAAGGGCTACATGTCATTATCCCTGAGGCCCAGAGCTGTGACAGGTGCAAATGGGGAATCAAATCTGTGTAGGGCTAGGGATGGAGCTCTGTTGCTAGAGTGGTTGCCTAGCATGCACCAAGTTCTAGCATCAATCCTCAGCATCTCAGAAACCAGGCACGATGGCACACACATGTCATCCCTGTACATGGGGTATGGAACCAGAAGGATGAAAAATTCAAGGTCATCCTCAGCTACATGGAAAGTTTGAGGTCAGTCTTGGATACATGAGACCCTGTTTCAAAATAAAAATAAATAAATAAATAACCTGCACAGTGATTGCTAAGCAATAAGAAACCAAGGCTCAGAGGCAAGACTGACCTAAGGGTTAGAGTCAGAGCTCAGACCCAGGACTGTCTATTGTGCTTCATGAGCTATTTGCCTTGCTTTATTTATTCATTCATTTGTTTGTTTGTTTGTTTGTTTAGTCTTTTTGAGACAAGGTCTCCCTGTAGCTCCAGCTGGTCTAGAACTTGCTATGTTGGCCTTGAACTCACAGAGATTCACCTGTTTCTGCCTCCTGAGTGCTGGGGTTGCTTTGCTTTATGAAGAAGTCTTTGAAGGAGTTTCCTATGGCTGATGGGCCCCTAGAACTGAGGAAATTACTCATGTGGGGCCTCTAAGAAATGGAGAGACTGAAACATCTTCTTTAAATTTCTTCTCATTATACATAAGAATGTTGTAATTAATCGGTGTTAGCAAGGGCCCCTGTAGGTGCACATCAGGCTAGGTCACAGGGGGAGCCTCTGTGTGGAGAACCTCAAAGGGGTTATTTGATAGGTTCTTGGATAAGGCCCATGTGCCTGATCCTATGTCTCAGATCTCAGTGTCCCACATCTACTGCAACCCCTTGGCCTACCCCACCTGCACCCTCGACAACAGAGACCAAGAGAATCAGCATTTCTGGGGGTAGGAGCAGGGCTTTGCTTTTACTTGGCAACAGTATTCCTTCATGTTCCTGGAGCACTTCCCAGGTGACCTGACCCTTTCACAGGTCTCTGCCATCACCACATTCCTGAGAGGAGACCTCAGCAGGCTTACTCCTCACCTGGCAAACCGCCCCTTTGGGGAGGACTTAAGAGATTTACTCAGGATCTCTCCCCTAGCATGAGCAGTAAAACCAGGGCCTCATCCACTTTTCACTGTAGAAAATTTGGAAAAAACAAACCAAGCAAAAGATGCAAATTAAAATCATAGGTAGCCCAGGCTGGCTTTAAACTTGCATGCAGCCAAAGAGGACTTTGAACTCCTGATCCTCTTGCCTTCACCTCCCAAGTACTGGAATTAGGGGTATGCACCAGTGCCCTGGGTTTCCATTAATACCTTGAGGACTTCCTTCCAGGCATCTTCATTTTCTTTTACAGAAATGGGACGTAGCATATATGCTCACCCTGTAACTTTCTTTGCCCACACTTAAATTTGGTTTCACTTGGTTCACACTGACTACTTCCTTGTGTTTCCCTCCTAGTGTGGGTTCCTGTGAACAACAAAGTCAGCTCTGTGGTCCTGCGAGCAGTGAACCAGCACAACAACTCAGTGGGTTCCTGGGACGGAGCGAATGAGGACTGCAACGGCACTGCTGTGTATCATGTGAATCAGTCTAACAGCTCATTCTTCGGGATACACTGGATAGTTCCTAATACTGAAGACACCACGAACACCAACCTGCAGTAAGAATTTATCTCATTTCACTTTGGGCTTTTGAATTTTTACATCAGGCTTATACTGTTGTACCTTGACCTGAGAAAGCTAAAACTATACTCTGGATGTGATGTCTCAAATCCAGCTGTGGCATTTCTTGTCTGCTTCTCTTTGTTGTGTCTTTCATCTGTAGACATGTGTGCGTGCGCGTGCACACACACACACACACACAATGTAATATATGTGTATATATATATATAGTGGGGCATCATTTTTAAAACATACACTCACTTTAGAAATGGCTACCTAAAAGAAAGTGTGCCATTTGAGTAAGAGAAGTAGTTTCCTCCTGTCATAAAAAGTGGATGTACCCAGGTTCTAAGGTAAGGCCACTGAGAAGTCAGCATTGTACTTTCACGACAAACTTTCCTCCCTCTAGGAACCTGACAGTAAGTTTACTTTAGGAACCAAGTGTTGGAAAGTACGTGTGCTTCTGAACTGTCATTTTGTTCTGAAAGGACAACTCTGATCATCACTGTGTCCACTGCCAGCATCCCAGGTTCTGGGGAAGCTGGTGATACTGCCAAGCTGTTCTTCCCTCTCTTGCCACACTCTGGGCCTGGGTAGGCTTCACTAGCTTTGGAGGAGGTACTGTTATGCCTACAGAGTGATGAACAAAAGCAGAGTCCAAATGGATCTGCTACTATCCAATCTCACCATAACAGCAGTTGTTTAGAAGCCACCCAAAGCTACTTAGGGTAAGGACTTTCACTTCACCGCATTAAGGCCTCCACATTCCAGGCAGCCACAGAGATACTCTGTAGTGACCCAACAGTGATGAGCTCTGCAAGGGAAACAGCACAGTCCCCCTGACAATAATCTCCATCCTCATTTGTGTGGTCACTATGATACGCTAGCCTCCCTGCTTGTTCACAACATGTACACTCCTCACCTTCATCAGTAAGACTGACTCCAAGGGGAGGGAGACACAGGAAGCAGGAATGCCACTATGGTGGACGTCATGCTCAGTAGGGGTCAAAAGGACTATCAAAAGGTCCCAGCCCATGGGATTTTCACTGAGAATGGGGAGCAAGACCCACACAGAAATTAAGTACTGAGGTGGAACAGCTACCCAGCTTTCCCTGAAATCCCAGGTTCACAAAGGGCTCCATTACACACCTCCCACCTTCCCCTGCTTCATCAGAGCACACATCACAACTATAACAGCCAACCTTAACTTATTAGCTGGTTATTCATTGAAAATATGTATCTCTGAAGACACTCTAAATGCCCTAAGAGTAAGAGCGCTACCTGCCAGGTTCACCACTGCCTGCTCATGCCAAGCACAGAGACTGACATAACAGACATTGTCCTTTCACTAGTTACTTGCTGAATGTATAACCAAGGGACTAATATTATAATGGATCCATTGATATAATAGCCACAGAATAAGCTGGGAGAATCATTTAATGAATATTAAATTTACCATTTACAACAGAACCTGCCTTCAAGAAGTCAGCCCTCTAGTGGGGAGAGAAGCTCATAGCAAATGAATGTAGTAGAGGGTCATGGCTCTGGGTAAGTAGCAATAGACACAGGACATGAAGGGTATCATTGTGTCTCTGGGAAGATGTAACCAGGGAAGGTATCACAGACAGAAAGATTTACTTGAAGAAAAGCCAAAGATGTGTACCAGCCTGTGGGGAGTTCGGGATGATGAAGCCAGTGGGGATGGGGATGGGGATGAGGATGAGGATGAGAGAGCTGCTGGGAGTAAGACCACACAGAGCTCTGTCAAGACAAGATGGTGGAAGCCAAATGACCTCCTTATTGTGCCACAAAAAAGTAAGCTCAAAAGAGATGAATAAGGTTGGGTGATCCAGAAAGGCAGAAATGTCTGCTGAGCTTGTGAGCCTTCACCGTCTCATTGATTTGCTCTCCACAGAATCTTTGTCGTGGATTTCAATCGCACAGCTGCATTTTCTTCTGTGAAAGTGGAAAATGGTGAGTTCTACTGCAATCTGTTTACATATTTGGTAGTAAACTCCATCAACCTGGAAAATTATTTTGTAGTGCCCTGCGGGTCAAGTGGAATTTCAGTTGAGTCTCCCAAAACTTGGAACCAACATGAGATTTTTCCCAACCTCTTTTTCCAAATCTGTGGAAAATAAAAGCCCTCACCAAGATCTTGAAATTTTTCAGGGTCAGGCATGGAGGCATACACCTTTAATCCCCACACTTGGGAAGCAGAGGCAAGCAGATCTCTGTAAGGTTAAGGTCAGCCTGGTCTACCTAGTGAGTTTCAGGACAGCTGGGACTACAGGGAGACCTTGTCTCAAAAAAAAAAAAAAAAACCCAAAAATTTTTCAGACATTTCCACGTCTACTTGCGGTTCCAGACTCCTGCTTCAATCAGAGCTGTTTCTATTCAGTATCCCATAGGTATCAATATGAAGGCAACCTCATCCATAATTCTCACAAAGAACCAGAAACTCCACTCCCTCAAGGCCTTCACAGAGTCAACTTTAACCAAAGGGTTTTTAAGGGAATGATGTGAGTGAGGGTAATTATACAGACAGTGTTGGTATAGATAGAGCAATAAGGTCAGTTCTTGTTAAGTTTGGTTTTTTGGAAGGGTACAGATTGAACCAAGCACCTTGTACATACTAGGCAACTGAATTATCACTGAGCTGAATCACCAGCCCCTTCATGAGCTCTTTTCTTTCTTTTCCTCTGTGTGTGTGTGTGTGTATCTGTGCATGCATGTATGTTCTTGTGTATGAACATGTACATTCACATGTGTGTGTGCGTGTGGAGGTCAATGGCCAACCTCAGATGACATTTCTCAGGTGCCATCCACCTTGTTTTTGAGTCAGTGAGCCCCATGGATCTGCCTGTGCCTGTCTCGCCCACACTAAGACTGCAAGCATGTGCTACCACACCTTACATTTGTACATGAGTTCTGAGGTTCAAACTCAGGTCCTCATGCTTGCCCACAAGATCTCAGCCATCTCCACAGCCCCTTCATGAGTTCTCAAAGTGGCCTTAGCTCTGCCACTATTACCAGGAGTTTCCACTGGCTTTTCATGGGCTGTAGCCCCCCGAGTCTCAGACCTTCCTGAGGCCCCTTACCAGTTTTCTCACTTATCTACACCCTTTTCTCTTATTTACCTGTGGGGAGACAAAACATCCAAAAGTGACCTTCAGGGGCTGGAGAGACGGCTCAGCAGTCATGAGTATTGACTGCTCCTGCAGAGGACCTAGGTTCAGTTCCCAGCATCCACACAGTGGCTAACAACCATATATAACTCCAATTCCAGGGGATCTGGGCCTTCTTCTGGCCTCTGTGGGCATTCCATGCATGGATGCACTTACATATGCAGGCAGAACACTCATACACATAAATAAATAAGTAAATAAATAAATAAACAAAATAAAAACAAAAATGAGATTCAGAAAATAGACAATTTGCCTAAGAACACAAAATCAATAACAAAATGAGGGCTCCAGTTCCACAATGTATGCTTTTCTCTGCTCTTCTTAAACTTACATTAAAACTAGAAATACTGTTACAATGGTTTCTAAATGTAAGAGTCAAAAGAGAGTACCTGTGAGGCCTTGGGTTCAAATCCTTAGCAGAGAGAGAGAGAAGAGAAAGTTCAAACAAGAACCATTAGTCTTTCTCCAAAATAGTCCAAATAACAGGACTTCCTCAGGGGCCTCAGAACAGTGAGACACCCAGCGTAACTGCTGTTTTTCTGCCAGTCATGCATTGCAAAATGTGCTTAGGGGATAATTATTTCCAACAACAAATTTTAAAGTGCTTATGTCTAATCAAACTATTCTATGAAAACTTAACTACTTCCTTGGTGGTTTCCCCTCTATGAAGTCAAGGGTGTTATTTTCTTCCTCAAGGACATTTTTGAGATGAACACTTGCATAAATGCTAACAGAAGGGGAAAATGTTTGCTTCTAATCAAAACCCTTTAGCTCTATGCTAATAAAATACAGTTTAAAAGGGGCGGGGGAGGCCAGGAGTCTTGATATGTACCTGTGCTCCCAGAAGTTAGGTGGTTGATTCAAGTTCAAGGCCAATCTGGGCTACATAGCAAGACTGTCTCAAAACATGCACACAAACAAAAAAAAGGAATGAAAGAAAGTGGCTGTGCTCAGCTCCCTGTCTCCATAGGATGCCAGGGAAGCAACGTCCTGGAGAAACGGTAAGACATAAGACTATGTCTCAGAGCTAGAAGGACTCCTCAAGGCAGGCAGAAGGCTGCCCAGGCCACGTGAATCACTGGACTTTCCTTCTTCCTTATAAACATAGAGTTTAAAGGAGATGAAGGTGAGGGGTGTGTGTGTGTGTGTGTGCAGATGTGTACAAGTGTGAACCCAGAGGTCACTGTCAGCTCAGCTTAGCCAGCAAGGCCCAGCAGTCCTCCTGTCTCTGCTCCCTTCCTTTCCCCTCACCCGCAGAGCTAGGATTTCAGGTGCATGGCTGCTACACCAGGCTAAGAGTGAGATTTTTTTAAAGATCCATTCAGATGTTTGAACTATGTGAGCTCCAAGTTCCAATTTTTATAGGATAAGACAAATTCCTAGGACTAGAGACCTACTTTTCTTTGCTTCTCTGAGAGAAAATCTTTGAGAGTTAGAGTCTACAAAAATGGCCTGTGACTTGCAAGTCAGAGAAAGAAAATCAGGGGTTTGGACATGACATCTTTCTACAAACTTTAAGGCAGAGATGGCTGTCCTTAGGTCTAGAGGATAATTCAGTTGTCTTACAAGGCCTGGAAATTAGAAAGATAAGCATAAAATTGTACTATCCTGGATTATATTTGCACTTATTAAAGGCATGAAGATATTTGAGGGCCAGCTACCCACTCAATAATAAATACAGTGTTTTTATAAATCCAGTAGCCCCCCCATCTCAAAAGACTGTGCAAACTTTAAGTATAGAGTCTTAGTTATTTTCGTTACTTAACCCTCTCCACCTTCCAGCTGCCTAGCAGCTCCCTCCCCCGACCTGGCACTGGAGAAGTGTTCATTGAATTTTTTTAAGTAAATCTTTAATCATTTATTTTTATGTGTGTGTTTGTATATATATATGCATCATGTACATGCCTGGTCTCAAAGAGTCCAGAAGACGGAATCATAGTCCCTGAACCTGGAGTTACAGTTTTGAGTTGCCATGTAGGTGCTGGGAACTGAATCCGGGTCTTCTGTAAGAGCAGCCAGTGCTCTTAACCACTAAACCATCTCTCTAGTCCTTATCATAATGATTGAATTTTGCTCATGAACTGGCTCTATCATTCTATCATGTTAGCTTCTTTTTAAAACTATTATTATTAGTGTGTATATGTGAGTATACACACATGCCACGGCATGTGTGTAGAGGTTCTGGGAATGGAACTCAGGTCACCAGGCTTATGTGCTAAGTACCTTTACCCAGTGAGCCATTTCGCCTGCCCTTAGCTTCTTTTTGAGTGCTTACCAGACACCCAACCAAGATTCCAATAACATTGTTTCTTGTTTTGTTTTTCCCCCTAGTAACACCCACAGCCTTTACCCCTACTTCTAAGGTTTCTGGGACCAACCAGACCACAAGCAAGCCCACAGCCGAGACCACGACCATGGCCACAGGCAAGACCACGACCATGGCCACAGGCAAGACCACAACCATGACCAGAGCCAAGACCACAGAGAAGCCCACAGCCAAGACCACAACCATGGCCCCAGGCAAGACCACAGACAGCACTATAGCCTTAACCACAGCCACAAGCCTGGCCATCAGAGCACTCAGCAGCCCCATCGCATGTGCCATCCATATCCTGCTTGTTTTTCTCACCAGCAAACTCCTTTTCTAAAAGAAACTAGGAAAACAATCCTCTGACCTCCTGTGTACCCTCTCAAGCTCAGATCCAGGCCAGTGCTTAAACATATGTAAATGAAATCTTTATGTTATTACATGGGAAATTCCACTGTTTCCAAGCATAGACCTGCAATACTCAATGGTGGGTCTGAATGACACAAGTGTTCACCTGGATCTTTCAGGGCACAGATTCTGCTTTTTGTAAATACTTACACCAGCCTGGCTGAAACCTGGAGTTCTGACTCTTGGTTTAACATGGTGACAGTCAATCTGAATTTCTGTTCATTGCCAAAGGATTCCCATGGGCCTCCTGGGTTTCTAGGGGAAGAATATTTCTTTATTTTCAAGATGATCTCAGATTTCTGGCCAAACCCACTCAGGTTACACAGAACTTCTGTGACTTATGTGAATGGAGGTAGAAAAGAGAAAGGAGAACTAGTCCAGAGGCTACCGGTCGTTCCAATTCGACTCACAACAGTAGGTTTTGAAGGGCAAGAAAATATGAAGGTTCCATGTCTGAGTAGCTGATGGCAAGCCACATGATGCTATAAAGATTTTTTTTTTATTTTATAAGTCACAACAATGGATGACACTTTGAACAAGAATAATAAATGTGTTAAATTGAAATATAAGTCTTTAATGGGTGATAAAATACAGATATTTCCTAATTTTGTTTATGTATTAAAAATATTAATGGACCAATGAGTGTGTATGTTTTCCAGGAGAGACTTAAGGGTAAATTCATCTCAATTTCCATTTTCCTCCAAAGTGTTCCCCCCTCCCCTGCCCCAGTAGTAATTTCCACTAAGAAGTGGGCAAAATATTTGTGATATTTATAATATAATGTGAAACCAAAAGAAAGGTATTTCCAGTAATTAGCTTATAATAAGAAACCAAGTTTTCCTTTGCTCATTATGCTAAATTCTAACGTGTCAACATTTTTTGATTCCTAAACTTGTGTAGCTCATAGGACTTCTGCCTCTATGCCACCTTCAAGGTTGATGCCACACAAACCCTGAGGGAGGAGAAACTTTGCTCTCTTCCAAAGGTTGAGCAATTTTAGGGATGAGGAAAAACCCATAAATGTCCATTTGGCCAAAATTTAGCTTTGCTACAGATAATAATAAATGCTGTAAGAAATATCCAAGTTTTTGTACTACAAAAATTCTCACTCAGTTAACATTTCCACCCTCTCCCCTTAGAAACCATATAAAAGGAATCTCACCACAGTAGTGTAGTCCTTGGAACACTTCTCTGATCTAGATAATGGCTATTCCCTACTGCTTCAGATTCGTTTATCAACAAATATGTATTATTGAGTGTCTATTCTGTGACAACCATCACTCTGGGCTCTTAAGCAGAGTAAAGATCCCTTCCCCAGGAGGTCCCTATCCCAAGATTCCCTCATGAAGTTATCCTCTTCTATGTGCTGATGCTGTTTGCTTTCATTTACGCTAGGTGTGAAAGTTTCTCAGAAATGTGCTATCCTGAAGTTGCCTGGTTATACTTTATAGTTTTAAAGATAAGAAAATTGAGGGTTCAGAGAATTTTTGTGATTGGTCTTAATCCCAGAGCTAGTAGCTTGGCATGGTAGTACATGCCTGTAATCCCAGCAGTCAGGAGGCAGAGGCAGAAGGACTGCTGGTAAGTTTGAGGCCAATTTGGTCTACATAGCAAGATCCTATCAGAAGGAGGGAGGAAGGGAGGGACAGAGGGAGGGAGGGGAACAAAGTAAGAAATCACAGATCCAGTAAAAGCAGGGCAGGAATACAAACCTGTGCCAAAGACTCTTCTTTCCCATCTAATTGCAATGCTCTGCATTGACTCTGACCCTAACTGGCTGAGATACAAAATAAGGCCTGTCTCTGCTTCCCTGGGTATGTGATGGGAATGGCAGTGTTAACAGCAGCAGGAAACGTGATCACAGCGTGTGTCCACATTGTCTGAGTTTCCTGCAGTTTAAGTTTCCTGAATGTGGGCATCCATGTCTTTCATCAATACTGGTTGAGTTTCCAGCCACTATTTATTCTCCTAGTGCCTTTCTCTCCCCTCCTTTGGGAACATGTTGCACGTATGTTGGTGTATTTACAGTCCACAGGTTTTTCATTTGTCCTTCATTCTTTTTCTTCCTGTTCCTCAAACTAGATCATTCCAACCAACCTGTCTTCAAGTTCAGATTCTTCTGTCTCTTCAGGTCTGCTGCTGAGCCCCAAAATTTTATCTTAGTCATTATATTTTACAGCTCCCAAATTCTATTTGGTGTCTCACCACGGTCTCTCTGCCACTGATAGCCTCTGTTCAGAAGTAATTCTCCTGCCTCCTTCAGTTCTTTGTCCATGGTTTCCTTTTCCTCATTGAGCATCTTAAGATGGTTGACTTAAAGCGTTTGCTACTTAGGCCCAATGACTGGGCTCCTTGAGGACATGTCTGCCAAATATTTTTCCTTTGAATTGACCATACTTTTCTGATATTTGGTATGCTTTGTCTTGTTGTTGAAAATTGGGCATTTTGAATATTATAATGATTCTCCTATACACACAGCCAGAGTTTGCTATTGTTGGTTGTTTGAAGGCTGTTGTCTATTTTTTTTTTTTTTTTTGAGACAGGGTCTCCCTTTAGCTCTAGCTGGCATGGCACTCCCTATGTAGACCAGGCTGGCCTCACTACCACAGAGATCTGCTTGCCTCTGCCTCCTGAGTGCCAGGATTAAAGGCATGTGCTACCATGCTTGGTTTCTGTTGTCTTTTTTAAAAAAATGTTATTGATTCAAGTATTCGATACAATATATTTTGATCATATTCAGACCCCCTCCCCCACCTCTGCCCTCATCTTACATCTCCTGACCCCACCAACTTCATGTCCTCTCAGCAAATGAGAAGCCCCATCCATCTTATGCAACACATCTGAACTTGGTGCCAGAGAAATTATATCTCATTAGAATGCCAGTGATCTATAATTCTTTTTGTTTTAATGTGTACAAATGTATTGCCTGCATGTATGTAAGTGCACCTGTGTCATGCAGTGCCTGCAGAGATCAGAAGAGGGCATTGAATCCCCTGGAACTAGAGTTACAGACAGTTGTTAGCTGCCATGTGGGTGCTGGGAACCAAACCCCAGTCCTCTGCAAGAGCAGCCAGTGCTCTTAATCACTGAGCCCAGATCTATAATTCTTACATATAGATTGGGCCAAAGTAAGGGCCCACTTCCTTTCCTTTGTACATGGTTTTGGGTCAGAATACACCCAGATTTCTTGGAATGGAATTTTCATATTTTCTGTTTCTCTTAAACATTGCTTATGACTGACAAGTAAGGATTCCTCTCCTCCTCAGCAATCAGAAACATTAGAGTTTCCTCATCAAAGTCAGTTATTTGCAGCCCAAGTATATGCAGGATATACCTTGGCTGTTTCTGGGCATTACTCAGCAAATCACCCCATTATGGTCCAAGATGTTCTCGAACAAGTTAATTCCCCACAAAGTTTTACTGTGGGTAAAGCAGAAGCTGGGTTTGCACGGCAGGCAGCGGCAACTCACAGGCTTCCAATCTAAGATTCTCCTGGTGGCAGTCAGGGTGTGTCACGGCTTCACACCAAGCATTACACCAGTGTCCTCTAGGGTCCTGTCACTGCTAATAACTGAAGTCAGGTTCTTGACAGTCACTGGATGATGATGACGGCCGGCCAACCATAGGTGCACTGTGCAACGGTTGCTCACAGGCCCAGCCTCTCACAAGAGAGGTGTTACAGAGTGCGGCTTGTTGGTGTGGTCACAATAACCTCCTGGTTGTGCCTACTGCCTGGCCCTGTGGAAGCCAGGGGGTGTGGGCATTACGAAGGCAGAGGCACAGTGACTAGGCGGGATGCACAGCTCCACCAGCAGAGGTAAGGGTGGAGAGGTGTATATAAGTGTTTTGCCTTACATGTATGTATGTTTACCACGTGTGCCTTGTGCCTGCAGAGGCCAGAAGAGGGCAACAGATCCCCTGGAACTGTAGTTCTAGGCCATCATGTGGGTCCTAGGAACTGAACTCAGGTCCTCTCCAAGAGTAGCAAATATTCCTAAATGCTGAGTCATTCCTCTAGTGCGGGCCATTGTCTTTGTTTAGTGCTCTTCTAAGCTATATTTGCAGACTGCATTCCTTGTGTGGTCACTGAAGCTTCTTTTCTGACATCTCATCAGTAAGCCAGGGACATTACAGATTTTTTTTTCTCTTCTGAGACAGGGTCTCACTATGTAGCCCTGGCTAGCCTGGAACTCCCTATGTAGACCAGGCAGCACTGGAACTCAAAGAGCTCTGCCTGTCCCTCCCTCCCCAGTGATGGGATTAAAGGTATACAACATCATACCCAGCCTGGATTTTCTAAAATATCAAAATTTAGCATCTTCTTTCTTCACTAAGCATTGACCAACAAGCTAGATTTTTTGTTTGTTCTGTTCTGTTTTGTTTTGAATAGATCTAAGAAGTCTTTAAAAAGTTGATTTTCATGGGCTTTACCATCTTAATGTTTGGTTCTGTGGAAGGACTTGGAGTCTTTTGTTCCACCATTTTTTTTCTAACATCACTGGGTGCTACTGATATCTTTCGACACTTATGCTAAGTACTGTGCATGAATCGTCTCATTTAACCCTCACCCCAGCTCTATGAAGGTTGGCCATTTTATAGATGGGGACACTCAGTGAAAGAAGAGAATTATAAGCCTGGGGTGGTGGCTCATAGTGAGTTCCAGAAAAACCTGAGGTATATAGTATGAAACCCTGGAGAAGGAGGGAGAGGGAGAGGGAGGGGGGAGAGGGGAGGAGAAAGAGGAGAGAG